TATTAAAAACAGTCCAGTCTCCTCCAGCTATTGGGTGGGAAAAATATTTTGAAAAAAAAATGATACTCACAAACCAGTACCTTCCAAGTATCAGGTCTGCATTTATATTACTTAAGTGGGTTGTTATTTTCTAGCTGGGAATAAGTTATACAAAGAGATCTAGCTCCTATAAAAATTGCAAAGCCCTAATAAAATAATTCAAAATGCTACTTCAAGATGATATTCACAAACCAGGACTCACTTATCTTTTACAGAAGAAAAAAGTGAAAGTTAGAGTCATAAATCAAAACACAAATTACATTAGAAAGTAAATTACCATAAAGAGGTGCCAGCAGCAGCTAAAAAATTAGATTGACATCCTAAAATGAAATAAAATGGAACAGTCTAAAGGAGATTATAAAATTGCTATATTTATAATGATTAAAGAGGTCAGAAAGGAAGAGAAACTATGACAAATGAAGAGGATGTTATGAAAGAAAAGGTATCATTGAGCACTTAGAATATCATTCATATTACTTGTCAAAAAGTTATTTCATCCAGGTGGCACATGCCTTAAATTATACCTTTCCCAAAAGTAAGTAATGTCACAAAAAGAAATGCTGTGAAATAATAAAGATGATTATAGATTTGGCTCTAAAATTGGGTGTTCAGTCATTAGTTATAACAGTTCTACTAGTATTTAAAAAGTAACAAAAATTATTTTTAACACTTAAAAGTTAGAATCACAACTGAAAAAGAGAAAATACTTGTATTGCCTTCTACTTGAAGTTTTCATTTTAAATGATGTTAAATGACCCATGAGATTGATTAAATTGAAAGTTTAATGATTTGCCTGTATATTCAGCATTTTATTTTTTATGATTTATAATTTTGGTTTTGGGTTTATCTGAACTATTCTGTGTGCCAGGAAAAACATTTTGCATGTTTGTGAGGATGCAGTGACACCTCTGTCTTAGAAATTGGACCCTCGTTGCTCAAAGCTGGATGAAGTTTCCTCTTACAAAGCCTGTAAAAGCAAAACTCATATATCTAGAGGGAATTAGTCAATGGGATTCCAAGATGGCTCACTTTCCTAAAGCAGATATCCTTTAATCTAATGTAAAGTAAAAGCGACATGATCAAAGTATGTATTTAATTATGTTGTGTACTATATGCTATTATTCTCTTCAGGCTGTTACACAAATTCACATTCATAGGTTATTGAAAAGGATTGCACAAGGAGAAGCTTGCATTTCTTCTATGAAATATTTTTGAGTGTTAAAATATGGTTTTTGCTTGGATTTTATGTTGAAAGGTACTAGAATCTTCTGAGGCTCTATTTTCTCCATCTCTGATCAGACATGCATTATTAAATCTAGTAAGAGAACATCTTACAAGAGGCTTAATTGGAGGTCCTTCTGTTTAGTGTATGCTTTCTATCATCATTTATCTTGTAAGTAACTAGGAAACAATTGAAGATTTTATTTGAAGCATTGCTTTTTTTTTTTTTACCTCTCCCCTCTTTGCTTACTTTCGCTGTATACATGCCCATAGTTTTGAAGATATATTTTGATATTAGCTCTATCTTTCCCAGACATGCTCAATAATTATGCCCCCTTCAGATCCAAAGACAAAGAAACAGTGATGAGACTATCACTCCCCAGAGGGAAAGTAAGGGAGGGAGGGGGTAAGGGGAAGAGATCAACCAAAGGACTTGTATGCATGCATGTAAGCCAAACTCTTTGCTTACTTTCGCTGTATACATGCCCATAGTTTTGAAGATATATTTTGATATTAGCTCTATCTTTCCCAGACATGTCAATAATTATGCCTCCTTCTCCATCAAAACTTTTCAATCCTAAGTGTCTTATTGTAATACCTTAACTAATAAAGAATTAAAAAAAAAACTTTTCAATCCTAAGTGTCGTGTGTTAGTGGTACTCACCATTGTGAAATATGGAATTTTCTTTTTATAACCAAATGAATAGCACAAAATCCTCACTTAATAAAAATTGTAATCTTGATGTCCAATGAATCAGAAATCATGTGGTGATGACCTAATGAATATTCACCATGTAATATTTTAAAGGAGTTACTCTCAATGAGAACTGCATACCTGATAAAATGTTAGTGCTTTAGAATGGAACACATTTATTCAGTCTGTGAACAATGCTTGCTCTGTACTTTCATTTGCAGAAGCTTTGTGAAAATTGACCCAACTATTGATCAAAATGATTAATAATAAAAGTCTGCAACTTTCTTTTCAGGGGTAATAACTGCAGTTTGCCATTTTCATTTCCTGCTCTAATATTATCCTCTCGGGGATTCACACAATAGGCCTTTAAAAGATTTGTTGAATGAATTAATGGCCTCATACCTCTCTTCACAATGGGTGGCAAAGCCTTTCTTGTATAAGTTGTTTTCTGCTAATGTGTAAACTGGCTAATGTGTTATTCTTTCCAGGTAACAAAATCCCCAACCCCAGTTAAAGGTTAATTTTAGAAGACCATTTAAGGATGGATCTTATTTTGTGACTATACGATACTGATAAGCAAATCTTGTGTCACCTTTTACCACATTTGGGATTTATAAGCACAGTAGATTTTTCAGTGGTTTCCTAGGAAGATAGATTACTGGTGCCACGTGGGTGGTTTCCATAAAGCTGATGAGATTTTTTTCCAAAGACATTCTGTCCCTGCAAATGAGGATGAATAGTTTGCCTACCACAGGAACTTTGGATAGTTCCCAGGGGGGCTGCTACAACAGATTTGACTTTAAAAGGGCAAATAAATAAATAAATAAATAAATAAAATTATTAATTAATTAATTTTAAAAATCTAAGATCCAAAGAAAATATAAAGTTGAAATTCTGACAAAATATTGCAGCACTTTTTCAAAGTATATAGAGATCAGTACATTTGTTCTTAAACATAATTATCAAATAATTGGTGATGCAAGACACTGGGATTGCCAAAAAACTGTGAAAAGCTGACTTTTGATATGAAGGAAAGTAATGCAAGATAAGCATCTGGTCTTCATGAAGTAATTTTTTAAGGCCTTGCCTAAAGTGATTATTCTTAACTTAAACAGCTCAAAAAACAAATCTAAGCTAGAAGCCACTTTACAAAGTTCTTCTGTTTCTTAAAGCAAAAGTTCTAAAAAGCAAGGTAATAAATTAGCTTGCCCATACACTCTGGTTTCAATAATATCTGGTAATGAATCTTTAGGCAATCCCATCTATTGATTATATTCCTTTATTATTATATTTGAAAAAATATTTGTATTTGTAGAGAGCTCAATCAGTTTTATTTGAAAATAACATTTTGTGAAGGGTAAAATAGTGTTTCCTCTTTTTGGTGTGGCGGGGGAGGGATGCTGCTATTTCTGTCTTGAAAAATAATAAAAATATTGCAGAAGTCCTCTTAGTGGAAATAATTATAATTAGTGGTTGGTTATTAAATCAGAAAAAGCAGATAATACATGGAATTAGATAAGATAGATAGATAGATAGATAGATAGATAGATAGATAATAGATAGATGATAATAAATAGATAGATCGATATATAGGTCAATAGATTTTACTTTGCACAGTTCTGATATGTTCACATTTCAGTTACTACAGTTTAAATAATACCAAACCCCTCAAACATGTTATAGGTAAGTGCTATCTTATCTACAGTCCATATTCTAATTCTGTCAATTGACCAAATAATGTCCTTCTTAATGCTTTTGATTTTCTTGGTCCAGTTTGTAATTCAGAATCATGCATTGTATTTAATTGCTGTGTGTCTTTCTGTAGCTGTTTCTTTGTTTTGTTTTGTTTTGAATCAGGATTAGTTTCTCTGCTTTCCGTTGATAAGCACAGGTCCTTTATTTTGTAGAATACTCTCCAGTTTGGACTTGCCTGAAATTTTCTCGGGATTATATTAAGGTTATGCACTTTTGAGAGTACTACTACATAAATTATCTTGGGCTCTTCTTAGTACATGACTTCTGGTTGCTTATGATGTTGTTTTATCCGTTTAAGCCTTATGTTCTCCTCTATAAACTTACTATTCTTCCTTTGTCATTAGTAAGCACTTTAGGGGGAGGTTCTTGGAGACTATGTAGGTCTAGCCCTCCTCGTAAGCTTTTCACTACAGTTTTAGCATTCCCTTATAGCTGTCTTGCCCACACCAAGAGGGAGCATATTTTTTTAAAATAACCTGTCTGTATTATGATTTTGCAAAGAATTCAACTGGGTTTCAAGAGAAACAACTTTTTTTTTTACATATTACATATTACATATTAAAATCAGAATCACCTCTAGCCCTACACAGGAAAGGTGGAATACAGCACTGAATCTTAGGTACACAGAAGCTCAAAATTAGGAGCAGAAGTGGAAGGGGAAACAGAGAGGACAACTAGCTTTTAGCATTCAGTGTGCAGTAGATTTTTAATAGTTTTTATAGAGAAAATGGGGAGTGTTGGTTTATCCCACAAGTTGGTTAGTTAGAGATCAATAAATATAGCATTTGTGTTTGTCAATTTTTTCTTTGACTATAGCTTTGGCTTAATTGCACTGATTTATTAAATAATATTTTCTTGGTCCAGGATTTCATGAATGATGGAGTAAGGAACTCAGTAAACTATCTCCCCAGCAAAACAAATGTGACTGTTTATGTTTCACTTTAACCAATTTTAACTGGTGACAATTACTTGAAAAAATCATTTAAGGACACTGGAGATTGTCCTAAGAGCATACGGAAAATGAAGAGTCATTTATCCAAGAGAGTCTAAATCTCAGTAAAAACAGAGAAATTCTGTGGCATTTGAGCCACCCATTCCTCCAGGAATATGTTACAGAAGTTCTACCTGAACCTGCGCAGCCAAGAAGACAAAGGCTCACTCTCCTGGGAACTCTCATTTTGGGATTAAGATTTCCTATGCGGCTCTTGCAGCTCTGCCACTGACATGCATCGGCAAGCACAGGAAGCACCAGGGAGGCCAAGGTAATGCTGGTGGCTTGCATCATCCCAGGATGAACGTCGGCAAATATCACCCAGGCTACTTTGGGAAAGCTGGTGGGAGGCATCACCACTTAAAGAGGAAACAGAGCTTCGGCCCAACTGTCAATCCTGATAAACTGTGCACCCTGGTCAGTGAGCAGACACCGGGAAATGCTGCCAAAAGCAAGACTGGAGCTGCTCCTTTCATGGATGCGGTGCAATTGTGCTACTACAAAGTTCTGGGGAAGGGAAAGCTCCCAAGGCAGCCTGTCATTGTGAAAGCCAAGTTCTTCGGAAGAAGAGCAGAGGAGAAGATTAAGGGTGTAGGTGGGGCCTGTGTGCTGGGAGCTTGAAGCCACATGGAGGGAAGTTCATTAAAATGCCCACAAGTGGGAGAAATTTTTCATATGGGGAGGGGCAGGTTTCTGGTGTTTCTCCTCCTCTGCCAGAAGCCAATTCCAGCATGTCATAATTGCAAGAGTTTCATCAAAAGGTTGATGGAACTTGGGGACTCAACAAGGGCTGAGTCACATATGTTGTCACCTGTTGGGAATGGCTGATGGCATTTTCCCAAACCTGAAAAGAATTGCTTGCTTTCTGCCTGATAGCTCAGGGCATCTTAATGTACATGTTATTGCCTCCTACTGGCCAAACACCTGAACAGCCATAGGCTAATTCTTCCAATCTGACAATGGACTCTGTCTATGAAACCCTGACCCTTTGAAGTGTATATCTCTGCCTTGCCTCAGGACAATTTGTGTTAATAAAAAGCATGGGGTCCTGAGACGAGATCTTAGTTCCTTCTAGCTAAGCTCCTCTGACCCCCAAATGCCTTTCAAAATTATGCTTGGACTTTGGACTCTTTAAGTTACACACAGCCTTCTCCAGATTGCTGAACCCTTCTTACTGCTGGAACAAGAACCCTGGCACTCCTTTTCTAGCCTTGTGTTGAGAGAAATTCTGGTCTAAGCAGGTACAACTAAGAGGTCGTGGTCTTCCTTCTTCCATCCAGATCCTATTCACAGAGCAAAGGCTCTTCCCAAAGTGTGGCAGGCCAGGAATACCGGGGCCCCAATGCCCTGCGGCAGTTCATGTTCAGGTCAGAGGTTCCACACTGGGAAGTGCAGGCCAAGAAAACAGGAGCTGCGTGCTGGTCTGCGTGCCCACTCATAGAGAGAGAATGTCACTTCAAGGAAAGTGGGTCCCTGCCCCCAGCTATGGCGCAGGGAACGGGGGTTCTGCTCAGTGGGAAAGGCAGACCATAAAGACAAAGAGCTCTACAACTTGGCATGAGAAGACTATTCTGAAACAGAAAATGGAGAACTCCATGCCTAGGGGCATTGTTGAAAATAGTATAGATTTTGGTGAAGAGCAAGTAAGAGGATGCTTAGTAAGTCCATACACTGTGAAAAGGCAGCGCAACCAGAAGTTTGATAGAACTGAAATGCGGAAATTAAACTGGAACACGTGGTTTTTCCTCTGGGCAGGATGCAAAGGTGATTTCCCGGGTTCTTGTCCAGGTGGATTTGAAGAATGAAGCCACGGGGCAAAAGGTGGTATAGGAAAAGGTGGAAATCTATTGGGAAATATGCACAGACTCCCACGTGGGGAGGAGGAGAGAGACCCACTAAGTCCCTCTTTCCTAAGGTTTATAAAGGCTGCAGTTCTTTGGGTCCTGATACCCCCCCTGATTGGTCACCATAGCAGCTGCAGAGCTCAAACCCCACATGGGATTCCCCTCTTTTTCTTCCTTTTGTTTTCCTAGTCCCTGTGGCCTTCTCCTTTATTCTGGGAATGGGTGGCTTCCTCTCCCTTTATTATGTAAATGTATACCTTTTTGCAGCTCCCAGCCCCTTTTGCTTCCTCTCCCTTTATTCTGTAAATGTATACCTTTTTGCAGCTCCCAGCCCCTTATTCCATGAATGTATGCCTTTTGGCAGCTCCCAGCTTTGCAGCCCCCCAGTTCTCCCCCGTGAGCCCCTTAATTCCTAAATCTCCTTAAACCTGCCTATTTTACCCCTAAAAACTCCTTTCAGAACAAGGGAAAGAGACAGATAAGATGGAATCACAGTCAACACTGCCATGTACCAGGCTGCACTCAATCAGATGAGGGGGCAGGGGGGATTTTACCGTAAACTATTCCCCAAGCCTCACATAACCCTATCAACAAAGAATGCCTCACTCAAGTATGGGACTGAAATATCATCTCTGATCAAACATCATCTCTGATCAAACACTGACTGATCAGTGGTAAGCTGCTGTGACTCAAAAACAACCCCAGGAAGACAGGTTTAAAAGTAAATTACATTCACCCTTAGTCGTGTGGAAGACTGTGCGCATGCTCAAGTGCCCTCTCAGGACCAATGCGATAGGGATCCTACAAGTTATTGTTTTCTGGTTGAACATAGAGTAAAAAGAATCCATAAGCACCATGACTGTGTTAGCAACTTCCAAGTCACCCATCAGGTGATAAAAGGTAAAAAGAAAACTAACTAGCTAAGGGGGATTGAGTACAACCTTTGATAAATAGGTGATGTAGACCTAGAAATGACATCTAGGTAGTCAGGCTAAAAGACAAAAACAAGGGTGGAAAAACTTGAATGGGTACATCAAGTACCTTATTTGCACACTGTGGGGAAGTATTTGCAGTTATTCAGCCTTCTCACTAAACGAATAAAAAAGAAACAAATGACAAGGAAAGTGACAGCAACAATAATACCCAGAAAGAAGGGGATCACAATGAGAGTTACTGCAATGTACGTCTAAAATATCCAGTCATCAGCAAAACAAAACAAATCCGGACAAACAGAAAAGAAAACAATAGAAACTGCTTTTGAAAGGTCCCAGATGGTGAATTTAGCAGACAAAAAACTCCAAAGCAGCCATTATAATTATGTTCAAAGAGATTTTTAAAAAATGCTTGAAGTATTAAAGGAGATGCGGTATGATAATCACCAAATAGAGGATATCAATAAAGAAATAAAAACTATTCAAAATAAACAATAGAAATGTATCCAAGAAATGCAAGCTTGGTTTAACATCTGAAAATTGACTATATACATATGACCATCTCAATAAACTTGATATTTGACAAAATCAACCACCTTTTGATAGAAAACACTCAACAAATTAGGAACAATAGGGACTTATTTGACTGGATAAAGGGCATCTATGAAAACCCTATGAATAACATCAGATTTAATGGTGAAAGGCTAAATACTTTTCTAATAATTAGGAACAAGACAACAATACTCATTCTCAACAGTTCTCTTCAACACTGTATGGGATGTTCTAGCCTGAGCAATAGGCAAGGAAAACAAGTCTTTCAGAATGGAATGGGGGAAATAAAACTATCTTAATTTGCAAATGACATGATCTCATACATAGACATTCCCAAGAAGTTTATAAAACAAATATTAGAACTAATAAAAGACTTCAGTAGGGTTTCAGAATATGAAATTATACACAAAAATCTATACATGACGAGTTGTTTCCTGTATGTGCCCCTACCAGGGATCCAACTCGCAACCTAGGTATGTGCCCTCACTGGGAATTGAACCTGAAACCTTTTGGTGTACAGGACGATGGTCCAATCAACTGAGTCTCCCAGCCAGGGCTAAATACAGTTTTTAATTGAATTAAATTACCATTCTTGCTCTCTGAGGTAAGAGGAAACAATAAAACCTGCCTTCTGACTCCAGCAATTTTCTGTATTCAAAGCTAAAAGCCAAGGGATAAAGGATTGTCCATAATTGAGGCGAGGAAGCCCTGGCCTCAGTGACCCTAACACTGCAGCAATAAGGAAAATGATTTAAAACTTCTTTTTCAGAAAAGTTGATTTGCAGTGCAGAGCTAATAAAGATGGACTAAATTGTCCCCACGTGTTCTATAAAATCACTCATAACTCCAGAATCCGCCCTAATTGTGTACACTTGAAAGATAGTCAGTGCTATTTTTACTCATTGATGCATTTTCCTTCTTCATTGTGATTCATTACCTGCTGTCCTTGGATCAAATATTTGAGATTGAAACAGCCCTATTGGGAATGCTCACATTAATCATGAGCTATTTTTTTAAAAAATACAGATTATCTGTTATAACTTAAGTAGGTAACAGTTTTATGATCTTTACAGGCTAGGGGAGGAGAGTGCTTAGCAGGAAAGACAGTGACACAGGTGGATTAAAACCTTGTGATTCAGTGAGGCTGGGTGGAGCCTCAGGAAGGCCCTTATATGTGTCCACTTCAGCCAGAGAGAAACCATACATTCTTTGTGGACTAAACATGCCATACACATTCTAAGACACCTTTCCTCTCCCCACTTACTAAAATCCTATATAATAAAGAGCTAATATGCTAATTAGACCAAACAGCAGAACCACCATCCAGACAACCATCCAGGCAACCTTCCAGGACAAAGCCTGGGCTACGAGGGCTGAGCCCCTTGCATGAATTTCATGCATCGGGCCTCTAGTCATAATATAAAGGCTTCAACTTAATCCCAGTTTACTCTGTGAAACATAGCATTTTCCCCCCCTGTCAGGGTGATATGTTTCTACCTTCAACTCAGAGAACATTTATTTGCCTCTCTCATTTGGTCCTTGGCGGCAAAGGCTGCCTTTCATTGGTGTTATTTTTTATTATTATTAAATGTTATGTATGTTCCTTAGTTTCCTTTATTGTAACGTTAATATACCACTAGGACTTCAGGATCTCCGTTGCCTACTGAGGTACCTTCCCCCCAGTAGGTGCTTCAGAAAAATTTTCTTGTGGTTGTTTTCCCACAACCATGTAGATAAAACTTAGTTTCACTACAAATGAGTTTCATTTGCTTTATTGCTAATGAGCCTGGACTCTGAAAGAACTTGTGGAATGCTGAACACTTGAAATCCCTGTATATGATTTATAGGGATTTTACTTACTTCTATTAGACCAGCGGTTCTCAACCTGTGGGTCGCGACCCCTTTGGGGGTCGAACGACCCTTTCACAGGGTCGCCTAAGACCATCGGAAAACACATATATAATTACATATTGTTTTTGTGATTAATCACTATGCTTTAATTATGTTCAATTTGTAACAATGAAAATACATCCTGCATATCAGATATTTACATTACGATTCATAACAGTAGCAAAATTACAGTTATGAAATAGCAATGAAAATAATTTTATGGTTGGGGGTCACCACAACATGAGGAACTGTATTAAAGGGTCACGGCATTAGGAAGGTTGAGAACCACTGTGTTAGACAGTGAGCTTTATTAAGACAGGGCGCATTCTCATTTGATTCCTCTTTGTAAGGGATCATTCAATAATGTGAACGGCCCTTGCTCTCATGCAGCTCACAGTTTAGT